TCTGAACATGAGGAAGAACTTCTTCCCTCTGAGGGTGACAGAGCACTGGAACAGGCTGCCCAGGGAGGTTGTGGAGTCTCCTTCTCTGGAGATATTCAAGACCCGCCTGGACAAGGTCCTGTGCAGCCTGCTGTAGGTGACCCTGCTTCGGCAGGGGGGTTGGACTAGATGACCCACAGAGGTCCCTTCCAACCCATAACATTCTGTGATTCTGTGAATGAAGCAGCTGTTCAGTGCAGAGAAATGGAACTCTCAGTGAAGTAAAGAGCACGCTAACATGAAGCCCTGCAAACATTCACTCACCCCACGTACTTTTAGTTAAGCCGGCTAACATCAGTGTGAGCGCCGACGACTATTAAGTTGACGGGCTTTCATTGGCTGCAAGACCAATGTTCTTTCCAACGGGGTGGCAGCTTCTTAACTGAAGCGAAATAAGTGTGCCTGCTGTCCCCAAAGAGTTAGGCAATTACCAAAACGATTCCATTTCTCTAAGAAGGGACCACACACTGATTATTTAACCAGAGATCATTCGAGGCTTAAGCTAAGGTTTTGAATGAGACATATCTTTTTTTTCCTTTTCCTCAAATGTAATTTGTAAAAGGTGATGCCCTCAGTTTAATTATCTCACTGGTTTCAGAAGATTACTCACTCACTATCCAGAACTATTGCCAGGATAATTTTGTTTCATTTCCTCATCTATTCTCAGCATCACTGCTGCCTCTTCACAGCCAGTTGCCCTTGTTACTTAAGTGGGGCTTTTAAGCCTCCCACAACAGTAAAGATTAGGAAACTCGGAAAATTTTGAAAAATATAAAAAGAAGAAGGGAAAGTAGAGTGGTAGGAAAAATGCAGTTCCTGCAAACACTTTTTTTTTAAAATATGATTTGGATTTACAGGCATTCCACTGAGCATTCATTTCTTATGTTAACAGCATAAAGCAGAGCAGCATCATGCTGAAGCAATAAATTTACTCAGTTTTGTAGTTAAATCTAAGGACAATATAAATAGAAACATAAGGATGGGAGAAGAAAAAAACCCTAGATGTCCTCTGTAATGCCCAATTTAGTACTATAGCAAAGTGATTTTTTGTTCCTTTGAAATATTCGGTTCAATTACGTTACACAATTACTTCTTACTGAACATACATAAACAACAGCTATGTGACTATACCTGACTCTTCTTTGTATCTAAATATATGTTCTATTACCATCTTTACAAAACCTTTTCCTTAGATAAAAGCTGAATGCAAAAGTAACCATAAATGATTTACACAATCTACTTCGACACAGCAAAAAACCCCATTTACAGTCATGCTTGTGGAAACAATTCCTGTTGTAGATCCATAATTCAGAAGTGCCCATTTTTAAGTAGCTGCCATTTCAACCACAATCACGCTGCAACACAGTGCATACAGAGGCAAACAATGATTTGCTAAACACAAGGAAGTTCGATTGGAAAGACAGACTGTGTCTTATTAAGGTCTTCTGATAAACAACTAATTTCCTTCCTCCTACATATTTTTCGAGATATTATTTTAAAAAAATTAAAAGCTCATATTGAGTTATAGAATCCAACATGATAGACATAATCACAATCTGTTACGAAGCTCTTCTACTGCATTCTACAAAATGCCATACTCTTCCACAATATCATGCTATTTTTTTCAGGTGCTTATCATACTAAACCTTTACCTGTAACTCTGGAAGGGACAATAATTCTTCCCAAACTTGCTCTATGTTCTGCATATTCTCTGCATCAGTAAGTGGAACTAGAACAGGTGATTCAAGTGGCTGAGTTTGATCAGAGGAAATGAAGACTGGGTTGCTATCGATCTGAGCAGGAACCAGTGACTGAAATGCAGCTGAAGAAGCCTGGAGTGTTAAGAAAATAAAAATTTTAAAAAAACAAACAAAGCAAAAACAACACCCCCCCCAACCCCAACCCTCCACTCCATTAAAAAAACCCACTCCAAAAAACAACTTTGAATTTTCCAAAGCAAAACTCTGGGTTTTGGTGTTCTACCATTTCTGCAGAACAGACAGGTATTTCTTAACAAACACATTTTTTGTAAATAACAGGATAATATAAAAATATTCCCATGAAAAGGGTTTTGGTATTAAGGAAAGAAATAAGAAACAAAAGCTAGAAACTGACTGGTGAAGGGCCTGTCTTTACACATCAAACAGGCCGGGTCAGCACAGGGAAACAAGGCGTCTCAAGTGCACGAACTCCAGATCTGCACTAAGCTCGCTGCAGCCAAGGGACGAAGTCCACTGCCGTTATTTGCAGGACCCGGCACGACTGCCATCAGCTGGCGGTAGGAACCGAACCCTGCCTGCAGGATTCAGTAAGCAGCAGGAACACAAGAGCACCCTCCACTCCCTCCGGACGCGGCCCTACTTTAAGCCGGCTACACTGCCTTACTCCAGTTGGACCGGCTTGGGGACAAAACTCAAAGCGTATCACAAACTAGTATCTTGGTGAAGACAAATCTTATTAAGAGAAGACACGAGACTGATCCCTTAGAAGATCACCCGTGAAACCGCTGCGCTGAGCATTTTTACCTCATTGTCGTCTATAAATGGGAATGCTTCTGCCAAGAGCTGCATGCAGTCATCAAAGGACAAGGCCTCTGCTTCTGGTTTTGAAGTCTGTGTGGTCTAAACAGGAAAGTTATGAAAAAATGTTACTGCATCTTTGAATAACTGAAGAATCTTCCATTACAGCAACAAATGCAAATTCATTTTAGGTAACCACTAACGTTATGTCTTCCTATGAATGGAAAAAGGGTTAAACGCACTCACAAACACGTTAAGAGTTTACCTGTGAAAAACCGATGGGTGGCTCAGAATTTTCTGAGTGAATGCGCTGAGCTGACTGAACGGGAACAAATTCACCTGTCTCTTCGTCTAACTCCAGCTGAGCCAGCAAGGCTTTCTCCTGCTCTTTTTGGAGCTGCTCTTGTCTTTCCCTTTCAAGTTTCTTCTGTTTCTCGAGTTCATACTCCTTCTGCCGTTGACTCAAATCAAAAACTTCACGCCTTGCCCCAAGGTCTATATCTTGCCTCCAAAGGATGTCAATCAAGTTCATGTCCTGTAACAGAAACGCTTTTTTAAAGCAAGCCTCCTCCCCAGCAAAACTGGTTTAGCACAACAGCAAATCTTTTAAATTCTGTATCAAACAGGCAGACTCATCTAACTGAGGCTTATTCTCTTAATCCTACAAAATTATCTAAAATATCGCTCTATACGACCTTTCTAAAGTGTGTGAACTGATTGTTTGGTTGCTGTGGCCCACACACAGGCTCATAAAAACTAAGCAATTTGTTACAGTTGGTAAGGCAATACACAAACTTGCCAGAGGATAAACACATTATTCTTTCCTAAGTTAGTCATAGAAAACATGAAGCTATAGAATGAATGATGTCACATTAAGAAAGTCATTTTTAGGAGAAAAAAACAGAAATTGAAAAGTTTGCCCACATAAGTATTTTTCAGTATGATCTTAAAAAACTGTAAAAGCTGACTGAAAACATGATGGAGGCTGTCTGAAGTAACTATAATAGCCACACTGCAAAACGTATTTTAAAATATTTATGTTCCATCCTGGTATTAAGTATTAATCTTCAAGATCAGCAGAACAGGGCTTCAGAGTCAGAGGATAACCTGGTTTCAAAGTCACCAAGCAATATAACATCACTATAGCACTAAACACCATTATTACAGATATTACTAAAAAAATTGTAATCTCATCAACTTCAAGTCAAAGTTGATGCTCTAAGTGCGGTCGGTTTGGAGCAGCTGAGTGTAAACTAGGGGTCAACAGGTGTCAAATATTGTCAATCAGTTGGCCTCTGGCTCATCACAGAGTCAATCATTATCAGAAAACTAACAATGACCTAAATTTCTTGGAAATCAGCTACCCCTTGCACCTATAGTGTTTCAGAAGACAAATTAAACTCTGCTATTTAGGGAAAACCACCCAGTTAGTATTACTTGATTTGACTACAATTTATCTTCATTTATTGCATAAGGGTTTTTTTGGGGGGAAGGGAGTTGGTGGGTTGTTCGGAGTTTTTGCTGTTTAAATATTCAATATTTTTAAGGTCTGAAGTTTGGACTATTTTCTTCTGTGAAGAAAACATAACACCCAAAAAATCATCAATCTGGACGTTAGCTGATACAGAATTTTAATACTTGGTAGCCACATTTGTCAGATGGGTAAACGCCAACAATTTCTAGCTGGTGCCTGGGAGTTTTGATTTTATGGCATATTTCATTATTCTTTAAACTACCCTTTTGCAGCGGCACACAAAAATAATCTTTGGTGTTGGGAATTCTCATCAGGCTACCACACTACAAATAATACACCAAACACTACCTTGCATTTAAACAGAACTTCACTGATTCAGTTAGCAGTTCTACACCCAAGATACTTTTATTTCACCACCATATCAAATTAAAATACTCCTGTATTGCTAAATACTATTTTCAAATAGAAAAGCAAAGTAACCTGCATGCCAAGTCCTGCTGCCACTCAAAACGATCACTTCTGTACAACAGTTATGGCAAAAAGCCTTAGGGTAAATCCACATGGGAAGAAACCAATTCAGTATTCTCACTTCTTTGTTAAAAATTCTATATCATTAGCACTCACTTTTGTAGATGGCATGAACTACTTCTACCAGTTACTAAAAAAATAACTTTAAAATTGGTCAGTTACATAAAATATCTGTGTCTGACACAATGCAGGCATTCCCAAATCTAAGACATATTTAATATACCTTGCTGGGAGAGACCAAACTCAGCTTTAACAGCCAGCAATGAAGAAGCTGAAATAATTACAGTGGCTGCCCAAGACAATGTTTGGTGCCTCCAGATTGGCAGGGTAAAACAAACTAATTAAGTTCTGCAGTAATTGGAGATATTGCAATATGGTATAGCTTCATTAAGGGCCAGTAGTTTACCAGCTGCTCACTGTCTCCTCCTGCAGCAGATTCGAAACTGTCTCCTAGTCTCCAAGCATTTGCAATATGTTCTGGATAACACTGCAGGATCTGGATTTTAGGGCTCACTTCTGAATTATTCATTTAGAAGGCACCATTAAAAATGTGACTCAAAAGATTTTTTTTTGTGTGTGTGTGTATAATACATTAGGCTGTGAATTAACAGAGCTGTTTTCCCTCCCGAGTTGCAACAGCCTACAGCACAAAAATAGCAGAACTGGTGCTCGGTTTCAGTTTAAATCAAGAAAAACAAAAGTGATCAAAAAAACAGGTACAGAAGGCATCACATGTTTTCCTTAGGAAGAACCACCACGTAGCCTTGGTGCAAAAACCCAAGGCACAGCTATCAAAGCTGCCAGTCATACTCCTGGCATTATTAGTTATCAAAATCAGTAGCTGTGGGTGCTGGCTCGTTTGTGGGATGAGAAACCTCCAGAGACAGCAGCTGGCCAAACAGGGCTGTGGCTGTACACCACCGCCACTCTGTGGTGCGGCAATCAGTTCAGCAAGCGGCAGCAGTTTTTGAATGAATGTGCTTGCACGGTTTTCAGGATTTTCAGGATCTTTGGCTGTTGTTTGAAAAATATGACAGCATTGATCCACTCCTGTCACCATTTTTCAAGGGAACATATTTAGCCCAGTATCTTACCTCTGGCAAAGGGCTGAGCTTTGCTCAGCGGTGTTGTGCTCTACCCTGGAGAGACATGCTCGTTGGGAGCACCTTTTTTTATTTTATTTAGTTGTGCTTGTGGCACTTAAAGCTAAGAGGGTGAGGTATTTTTAATTAACACCATATAATTGGAAAAGACCCCTCCTATTTTCAATTTGTTCTTCTGCATGCAGGAAGTGTTCTTCTGTTCAATAGGCTAACATGAAATATCATTAAACAGCACACTGATTTAAATATTAACCTGCCATTTAACACTTATCTATAATTTCAGCCAACGCTTTCAGTAATATTGCCCTTCTTAAGGAAAAAAAAAAATTCCGGGCGTTAGTCCAAAGCCTCAGGTCAAAGTTAATGGCGTCAACACTGACCAGTGAGTCACTAAGGAACGAATCACAACCCCCCCAGCACAGGGTGACGGCAAAGAACTAAAAAAAACCCCAACCAAATGGCAGTCTAAAGCAAATATTTGGCCATTCTGCTCCTTCAGCCTCCCCACGGCCTCCCTCTTTAAATTATTTCTCCGCCTTGTTGAACACTACCACACACATGCACAGAGGTATCCACAGACACAGGCAGGCACTGTATTTTAGGTTTAATCACTGAAGCATTTTTTCCCCATCCACTATAAAAGCATCAAAAGAATAACTGTGTATTTGAAGCCTGCAGTGTTTAACTATTAAAGCTATTAAAATGTATTTTACTTCTTGCCTGCGCAACAGCTACACTCCGATTTTTAGATGCCTCAACACGACGTGCTCATCTCAGAAAGATTCCTTTGGAGGGACAAGTGAGCACCGATTCGCATCCAAACTGGAGCACGTGCACCAAGAGCCCTGTGCAAGCTCCACCGACCCTGGGCTCATCGCTGCCCTTCAGAGCCACGCTAACCACTTCCCTTAACACCAGAGGTATTTACTGTAAAGGCGCCAGCGGTCCCTCATGTGACAGAGTCCACGAGCGCCCAGTTGTTCTTTCCTCCGTTGTGCAACCTCCCGCGTTACATCAGAGGAAGCGGTGGGTTGGGCAGAGCCCCACGGCTTGCGGCAGAGCCAGGCCTGGGCCCCAGGAGGGGGACCCGGCACAGGGGGGCTGCGGCCGCCATGCTTCCCCCTCCCCGAGGGCTCAGCGCTCTCCCACTGAACACCAACGCCTGTTCCGAGGGCAAATACGTTACGGTATTTCACGCGTTTATTACCATTGTCCAACATTTCTAACTTCTGGGAAAGTAGTGTGTTTTTAATAGTTTTCCCAAGCAGTGATTCGATTTTATTTCTTCACAATTTTGTAGACAGAGAACGAACTCCTCTCAGAGAAGAACATACTTTGCTTTCCCATGATCCATGTAAGCAGGAGGTGCCTTGTACTCATGGTTTGATTTTTTTGTTGTTGTTCTTTTAGTGATGTGCTCTTCCAACCACATCGATAGCTTAGTTTGGACATACAAAGGCACTTTTAATAAGATAAACATAAATGTTAAACAATTCACATTAAGCCACCATCTGGCCCCCAATGGAAATTTTCATGTTTTAGATTTACATATCAGCATTTGCCATCTGGGCAGAGTCTGTTATACATTTTATGAGAAAATCTCTGACTACATTGTAAAGTTTGACAATTAACTCTTATTGCTCCTAAGCAAACATATTTGCAGTAGGGTAAACAAAGGCAAGAGACCCTGTTTTCATGTTATTTTCATCGACTGACTTTTGTGCTTTAAACCAAATGTTGATATTCTGTTTCACTCTTGTTTGGTTTATCTGCCTGTTGTTGTTTGGAATATAAGCCATTTAGAGGTAGCACTCGTGAAGCGGAAACATCCAGCAGCCCAAGTGTCAACAGAGAAACAATCTGCTATCTTGGACAGCGCTTTCAACCTGTTATTAGCTATCCCCTTAATACGGAGCACATTGTGGGGTTTGCACATTTGCTTCTGAAAGTCATGCCTTTTGCAGCACAAATTGGGATAACACTAGCAGAAGCTCTCACCAGACAAGGATTTGTTTTTCTTTCTCATGATGCATTAGTACCTAACTCCAAGAAGAGAGATTTCACATGCCAGTCCAACTAAGCAAAAGAGCAACAGAATCAATGGCTATGGCACCCAGGAGGGAGCTCCCACTGGGACCCCGCAGGAAGCAGGGAAACATTCCTTTAGCTTACTCACAGAAGAGAGATGGCAAAGCACCCCGCAATTCCTATTTGCTTTCCAGAAAGTGAAAGGAATGAACTAAAAGCACCTTACATTTTTGCTTTATTCAAAAAGTGTGGGTGAAGTGAGGATCAAGGTCCTGAGATATTCCAAGGCAAGAACGAAAGTGTGGGGATCAAGTCATAAAACAAGTGCAAGAGCAGGACCTGGAAGCATCTTACCACTTCAGAAACACATGGGCTGTGGAAGCTACAGATTAATGTCTTCCCCA